ATAATCTAAGGTTGGACCGAGGCTACTAAATTGGGCTATAATACACATGAGCCAAATAACAGTAAAAGAAGATTGAATCGAATCAATTAGCTAGTCTAACTCATGGCCTTATAAACTCATATGCATTACTACCTCCCCTCAAGTCCTTTAAATGCTTGATTTAAAGAAAGCCATAAACTAAAATGGAATTAAAAGATGATTATGTTATTCAAGTTTGATGTTTGTCAAATGGTATAGATGCTTGTTTCGCCATTTTATTTGTTGTTTAACAAATGTTTCTGAGTTTCTCAACCTCCTTTCAAGGCAATAAAAAAATAATTTTTCATAATGCAACCTAAAATTTCAACAAAATCCCATCTAATAAATAATCATTAAAATTTTTCTAGGAGGTATTACTTTCGATTTTCAAAAAGAAGCTTTTATTTATACTTAACATAACTGGGATTAACTTTTATTCCCTAATTTTGTGAGGTTCATAAAACTTATTACGTTTACCAAGTTATGGAATTATACGTCAAAGTAATTCATCTCTATAAATTAGCGCTTGGACAAGGCGTGTTGTTCAATTCAACATATAATTTTAAGAAGAATCAATCTTCAAATATAGCAACGTAATTTGATATTGACAATGCTAGTTCATAATTGTTTTCATGATTTTTTGTTAGTATTTTTAGAAATGTTTGTTATTTTTGAATTTATGATTTAATTGAAATTGTAAGTTTCAATTTGTAAATGTATTTTTATGATGACTAACATAGCCTTAATAAAAATAAGGTGAATGCACATAATAGTTATATTGAACAGAATCTGTTCTTTGTTATCAAAGTATAGGTTGCAAGCTGTTAAATTTAAAGTGTAGGTTATATGTAACAGTAGCTGAACTATACGATGTTGACTAAAATTTAGTCAAAAAAAGAATGCCATAATTATTGATGGGAAGGGTAGAACAAGGCATAAACTGAAATGGAAAAAAGTTATCACTTAATGGTGAATGCTGCCAGATCTCATGCATGTTTTTGAATTTTCCCTTTTATTGTTTAGAATGTGGTGAACTTCATTTCACAGATTTTTGCTGAGTTTTGTTTGACAATAGCTAAATCTTGAAAACAGAAAAATGTGGGAGATATCAATGAAAGGTCTTGAAAGCTTGGTGCGAAGGACTACCCCTTCATCTTTTGCATATATTTGTGAGAAGAATGGAAACTCTTTAATTGACAAGGTGATGCATAGCTGCTAAAGAGGTATCAAGTGTTTGCTTACTCATTTTGTTCCAAACTTTGAGTCAACCCTTTCTCTTTAAATTTTTTGCAGATGGATGAACTTGCGTGCTTTGCACCAGGAATGTTGGCCTTAGGAGCTTCTGGTTATGGTCCTGATGAATCTCAGAAGTACTTATTGCTGGCTGAAGAGGTACTCCCATGTAGTGTCAGTTAAAGTGTACTCCCATGTTTTGAGTAGTTTGGCATTGAGTCACTATATATGTGTCTCTGAATGTTATATAGAATTCCCACTTAATCTTCCTTGGCTCAGGTCAACTTCAACCCTGAAATTTAGGATCACAAGTCATTGTTGGACACATGTTCTTTCTGTGCATGGATTTAAGCTAACTTGAGCTCTTGGCGTCTTTTTGCAGCTTGCATGGACTTGCTATAACTTCTACGAGTCAACACCAACAAAATTGGCTGGAGAGAACTATTTTTTCAATAAAGGGCAGGTTGGAATATTTTGTTCCCATTACTTCTATGCTAATTCATGCTTAATTTTATCGACTGAGGAAGCAGTTAAATATTTTCATTTCTTATTTCTGCAATAAAGGATTTGAGTGTGGGGACATCGTGGAACATACTGAGGCCAGAGACAGTGGAATCCCTTTTTTATCTCTGGCGCTTGACTGGAAACAAGACGTACCAAGATTGGGGTTGGAACATATTTCAGGCATTTGAAAAGAACTGCCGGATAGAGTCTGGATATGTTGGGCTAAAAGATGTAAGCACTCCTCAGACTCATGCACCTCTTTGTACGATTATTACTTATACACTACCATGACTGTCCTAGCTGCCGCTCTGCTTATAACTTAGGTCTTTTTTTTTTTTTTTTTTTTTTTTTTTTTTTCCCAGGTAAACACTGGTGTCAAAGACAACATGATGCAGAGCTTCTTTCTTGCAGAGACGCTTAAATATCTCTATCTTCTTTTCTCGCCGCCTTCTGTGATTCCTCTGGACCAGTGGGTTTTCAACACTGAAGCGCACCCTCTAAAAATCGTAGCCAGGCATGCATCAAGCTCCGGACAGCATACATCCGATAGTAGATCACGCGGTAGAAGAGAAGGTCAGTTTGGTAACTAGGGTGTATATATTCGGCTTTAAATCAAGTATTAACATGCCATTGGTTCTAATTGCCTGAAAGAGCACACGTTTTTATCATGGTTTTGAGGCATGATACCATTAAAACATCACTGCCCAGCGTTAAGTATAGGTGGGTGATTATATTTTTATTTTTTCCCCCTATTTTACAGAGTGGGTTCATGTTAATGTAGGAGAATAGTTTAGGTTACTGGTTATTCCATTTTTTGCAATGTACCCAGCCTTTGTGGGCAAATTTATCTTCATTCTCATCACTGGTATGCATTTTGATGCAAAGGGTTACTATTATTGTTGTTGTTGTAGTGTTGTTATTTCATAGTTTGGTTTTTTTTTTTTTTTTTTTTTTTTTTTTTTTTTAAAGATTAATAATAAATAAATAATGAGTAAGTTAATCGGTTTGTTGACTTAAAAAAACATAATAATATAATTAAATAATTAATTCTGCTTTTGGTTTAACTACCATATTATTATTATTATTATTAGAATGGTGTTGATTAGCATATTAGAAAACTCGTAATCTCAAGTGTTATTAATGTATTGTCTTATTTAGAATCAATTCAATTCCAATAGATTTTCTTGTTAACCAATAATATTTAATGTACAGAAAAATAAATGATCTTGTGATCTAGTGGTACAAGATGACTCTCTCAAATAGAAGGTTATGCGTTCAATTCATAGTGGCACTGGGGTGGTATTAAAATGATTGATAAATTTGTTTTTTTGTTCTCTAATTTTATTCCATCACTACTAGATAGTGCCAGACAACAAAGATTTCTACGTCACATCTTACCCAATTTTTTTTCTTTTTGCTTTCTTTTATTCTTTTAAGCTTGTAGTGGTAAATAGGACAAATACTTCCATTATCCTTCTTTTGACTATGACACCTTATTCTCAGTTCATTTCATGAATTGCAATTTCGACCAGCTATGGAATATGTAATTCCTTTACAAAGGGAATTTCGATTCCACGAAATCGAAGTAAATATAAGAAATATCATTTTTCTAGAATTAATATTATAACACGTATTGAAGTAGTGTAATACTGTAATAGTAAAGCAGTAATCATTTTTCTAAAATTATAATTAATACATTGTGGTCTAGTGACACCAAGTTGCTTTCTCATATGGGAGGTTGTGGGTTTTAGGCGGAACCTTAGTGGAGAAAGTAGTTATGAATAGATACTACATTGTAACAGTGTTAGTAGTACTAAAAAAAAATAGTATTGCAATTATCATTTGTCTGTAATGAAATAATAATAATGTATTTATCATTTTTCTATAATTAGTTTGTAATGAAATAGTAATTTTGCCAACGAATCAAATGGTTGCCCACTATGGTTACTTTCACCCTGTCTTAACCCCAAAGTCCCATATCATAGTGCCAGACTGGTTACCATTTGGCATCTGCCTTTGTTAGGGCGTGGGCGAACTACTTTCCCGATATGTTAACGAAAGATAAAAAAAATACGAGATAATAGAATTAATCATAATAGAGCATTCGTTGAATGCTAAGTCTGTATAAGAATGATACGAAGTTCTCCTTGCTAGCGCGCGGACCATAACCTAGCCGTCGGACTCCACTCGGACATTGTTGATTCCCTTGCCTTTCATCCACGACAACACCATCTTCCGCTAAGAGCATCCACAATGGTTGGGGAGAATTAGGAGATAATGTAAGAGTGATTAGGAAAGAGAATGTGGGAAGGGGAGAAAAAAAATAATAAAACAAAACAAAACTGATTTTTTTTTTAAAAAAAAAAACATTGTCGGGCGCGCCTGTCGTGCCCGTGTGGCTGGCTGCTGTGCTCGAAACGCGCACATCAGCGTATGTTTCCTGATATTTCTCTTCCCTTGGGAAGAGACATATTTTAGCATTTGCCGGAGAAATAATTCATGTATTAACCCCACCCCACATCTATAAATAACCCCACTCAAGTTATTTATTCTTACATTAACCTCATATTATCCACTAGTGTGGATGCTCTAACAAAGGTTTGGTGGCACAATTCAACGGGCCATTTGACGCCACCACGAAGCTCCCATCACTGCTAAGCAAACAAAACCTGAAACCCATCGTTTCCCTCTCCGTGTTCATTTTATTACTAATCTTTTCTTAGTTTTCCTTAATCATTTTAAAAACATTTAATTATGAGATTATTTTTATTCGTTAAGGAATATTTAAATGAATTTACAGAGAAAACAAAGTTATTCTCCGATTCTTTTGACTTAAAATATGTTTTTCACTTATTTAATGTTTACTTTGAGAGGAAACTAATGAATTTGCATATTTACTCATATATTTTTCACTATTATTTGATGTTTACTTTGAGAGAAAACTTATTTACTCTTCTACCATTAATTTTAACCACTATTTAAGGTGAGGACTAAAATAACCACCGCCAAACAAATAATTTAAGGACTAAACAGAATAACATATATAACTAAGGGGCTGAGTTGACTATTCTAGTATAATTGAAGGACTAAAATAGTCGTTCTTCGTTATTTGTTTTTTCTCTATTTTATTTTATTAACTTTTCCTCTATATTTTTAATATTTCCTCATTTTTACCAAATAAATGAATAATTACCCAAACTAATAATATTCGAACTATTTGCATAAAGTGAAGCCGGACTTGTAGTGATAGTGGGGGTGGGGATAGGGATATGCTGACGGAAATTCAAAGAATATTTTCAGTACGCTGTTTTCCTCCTCCGTAGTCCGTCCTCTCCTTCTGCGACTGCGATTCTCAATTCCAGACCTTCATCAGCATTCTAGAATATAAGCTTCACAGTTAAACCCTAATATCCCAAAGCGTTAAAGCTCCGATTTTTTAAATTTTGAAACAGAAATGCTTAGTGTAAAGCAGCTCTAGTATTGGAATGATAAGGAGAAAAGGGCATTCAATCATCTCTGAGTTAACCCCTTCTTCCTATACATTGATGCGTACTCATTTTCTCTCCCGCCTCCGATGCTTTTCCCATGGTTCCGCCGGCGCCCGTTCTTCTATCTCCGGAAATGTGGACTTCCTTGCCCCGTTTCACTCATTCCGACCCGAATGTGAAAACGGGTCTGAACCTCGTTCCGATGGTCTGACCAGACTTCAAGGAGATAGCCATTCTCGGCTGGTTGGAGGAAGATGGCTTTCTGCTCCTTCATTTGCATTCCGTGGACTGTATGGGGGGAGTTCTTCGCGGAAAGCTATGTCTTCGGCTATGATTCCATTGAATATCAATCATCAGCTCTTCCTAAGCCGTTGTAGGTTTTTTTTTTAAAAAAAAAATAAAATTATTTCATTGCTAAGAAGAGTCGATTTTCATAGTGTTTGTTCAAAAGTTAAGTTTTGAATTTTCAGTATACAAATTCTGTTTGCAGGTCTCCTGACTAGAGCTAAGAAGACGATAACGGCAATAGAAGTAGACGATCATGGGTAACTTGGTCTTATCTTATTCATTTTCGATACATATACATTTTGCTTTGATATGATGATGGAATTTAATGTTAAATGGGATAAGAGAAATTCAAAGAAAACCGAAAAAGAGATAACTGCTATACAACAATCTCCTTCACCTTCTACTCTTCTAGTGTTTATTGAAATGTTTTAAATATGCAGCTGCTATGAGATTTATCTGTTATGACACTCCATTCTCTTTTCGCTACTTGATTGCTTCTTTACTTTTCTGATATCTTCATTCCAGTCAGAGAGCTGTCACGACAGCATTATGGTGCAACTTTCTTGTCTTTTCTCTCAAGTTTGGGGTCTGGTTATTTACTTCTAGCCATGTTATGCTAGCTGAGATGGTACATTCAATAGCGGATTTTGCAAACCAGGTAATGGGTGCTTCTGAAAATCTTCCTCTGTCCCCTTGCTGGGCCGAGCATTCCTACTTTTGCTATTTGCGTTGTTAATTATAGATGGACCGTCTAGAATCTAATCTGTGCTGTTTTCTTAGGCACTTCTGGCTTATGGTTTAAGTAGCTCAAGGCGTGCACCTGATGCTCTCCACCCGTAAGTGTTATACATATCAAAATCTTCAGGCAGTGGGAAATATTTTTTATTCATTATATCAGTATGTATTTCCTATGGCTGCAAAGCTATTCATTTGTGACAGGAGAAAAAAAAAATTGTATTCTACTACATCATTGAACCCTTACTACAATCTTCTTGTTCTAATATGCATAATTGATCAATGCTTAAAATGTTAAGCAGGTCATTTAGAAAATCAGGTTATAATTTATATCTGAAATGGTTGAGTTTAACTTTAACATGGTCAAAACCTAGTTCAACTTGAGAGTTCCATAGATGTCCTATAAAGTAAGAGCTTATTGAATCTTTTGTGCTACTTGGTGTCAGATACGGTTATTCGAAGGAAAGATTTGTTTGGTCTTTGATATCTGCTGTTGGTATTTTCTGTCTTGGTTCTGGTGCTACAATAGTTAATGGAGTTCAAAACTTGTGGACTGCACAGGTACTTCACTATTGAAATTTACACTCGATTCATTTTATTTACATCTTATCACTGGATGTGTACTGATCCAAATTGATTGATTTCAGCCTCCTGGTAATATTGGATATGCATCTCTGGTGATTGGTGGATCATTCATCATCGAAGGTATAAATATTAAGTTAATTATCTAGAAGTAGATTCTTGAGATTATCGTTTAGCTTCTGTATCACACTTCATAAGTCGGGGTTCTTTTTAGGTGCTTCCCTTATTGTGGCAATACAAGCTGTCAGAAAAGGAGCGGCTGCAGAAGGAATGAAAGTTAGAGATTATGTTTGGCGTGGTCATGATCCCACATCTGTTGCCGTCATGACAGAGGTGATAACATTGTCCTGCTGAGCTCCTACCCTAATTTTCTATTTCAAGCATCTGTAAAATGATGTTATGTTTGTAGGATGGTGCTGCAGTTACGGGCCTAGCCATTGCTGCTGCATCATTGTATGCAGTAAATAAAACGGGAAATCCAATCTATGATCCCATTGGTTCCATCATAGTAGGCAACCTCCTTGGAATGGTATGTGAAGTTGGACTACTTGTCTCGTTGTTGTGCATGTGCTTCATATCCTCCCTTTCGTTTTTGTTTTGGAAACATGTTTTATGTGCAAAAGAACAAGTAACGAAAATTGAGACGTTAAGAAAAATGTGAATGCAGGTGGCTGTATTTCTGATTCAAAGGAACCGTCATGCTTTGATTGGTAGAGCAATTGATGACCATGATATGGAGAGAGTTCTTCAGTTCTTGAAAAATGATCCAGTATGTCTGCTTTAGTTTGCTATACAGCTGTAACATTGCGACTCGCCTTAACCCAAATATACTTGCCGCAGGTTGTTGATTCTGTATATGATTGCAAAAGTGAGGTGATCGGTCCTGGATTTTTTAGATTCAAAGCTGAGATTGGTAAAGATCCTCTTGATGTTCTTTAAAAATAGAACAGAATGCCTTCTTCTGATCTCTTCTCTTCTTGCTTATACATTAATACATTATTATTAATGCGATCTATAAGCTCAGAACAGCCTTACAGGAGATTAAACACATAGGAAAGGTTCTTTTCAACAATTTAGTTCTGTTATAAACTAAAATTGGGCTAAGGTCACTCAACTGGGCTATAATGCACATGGGCCAAACCACACTGAAAGATTGAATCCAACCAATTAGCTAGCTCAACCCATGACCTTATAAACCCATATATTCTCTCTTTATTTTATCAATATGGACTCTTAACAAGTTCTTGCATATTTTCTCAGGCCACCAATATAATATGGTTATATTGCCTCATATTTCAGATTTCAACGGGGTGGTGCTGGTGCAGAATTATCTAGAAAGAGCTGGACGTCAAGAGTGGGCTCGACAGGTTAGTGTGGACCTTATCTTTCATCGGTAGTTTGGAGAAATAATCGACTTTTCTTTATCAAGTCCCCAATCCCACGAGTCCCATCCATTCAAATTGCTTTCTAAATACACACAAAATTTAGACAAAGAAGGAGAACATCTCTTTAAGGCCATGAATTTTATATTATAGCTTATTATGTGTCTTACGGAGAGTGGTTGTCTTTATGTTGTTAGTTCCGGGAGGCTGCAAAGGAGAAGGACGATGCAGCATTGCTCATTCTAATGTCAAACTACGGTAACCACAAGATTTTAAGCGAGAAACTGATTTTACTCCATCCCACGCCATGTTTAAAAAAACTAACTTCCCTCCCCTGCAGGCGAGGAAGTTGTCACAGCATTAGGCAGCGAAGTTGATCGTCTAGAAAAGGAGATACAGGAAATTGTTCCCGGCATCAAGCATGTGGATATTGAAGCCCATAACCCAATTTGATCACACAACTTGGTTTTCTCGTATTCCTTAGCGGTAAAATTTTCAATTTATTCACTTTGCTTATGAGAACCTGTCAATATTTACACAAAAAATTTCATGAGGGTTTCCAAGGGGGGTTGGTTATATGTAAAGACTTTTTGGGCCATGTAGTGTGAATATTAGAAACATCTCAGTTGAAACCTCTTTGGATTGTGCAATTGAAAACTGGCATCAAGCCACTATAGTGTCTGTCTACTTGGAAGGAATCTCTCCATTCATCAATCAAGAATGAATTCATTTTTGTGCTATATACCAGCCTTTGTGCCTATGCTTGTTGATAAAACTTTTATTTTTGAATACCAAAAGTATTATATTTGTCCTCAAAAGTGTTACACTTCCTCGTATAAGTAACAAATATTTTATTTCTAATTAGTATTACATTTTGCAGTATAAGTATTACATTTTCTTATTCACCTGATTGCAAGGTAATATTCATACATTGGCTAACACATTCTTAATTTTGTTATAAATCAAGAGAGAATATTGACAAAAGGGGAGAGATTTTCTTATTGATATCTTCACTTCTCTATTACAAATGAAAATATATGAGCTTTTATATAGGTAACAAACTTGACTCTTCGTTGATCTAGGAGATACTTGACACTTCATTTATTTAAAAGATAAATAATTGGGATAATGATCATACAACAATCAAATACTCTAGCCATAATTATTTCCCTCGACTAGTATAAATGTATAATGAGGAAATTGATGTAATATATGATTTGACATACATCATGCACTCTTTTTCCATCGGTTAGATTTTACTCACATGATTTGTCTAGTGAAGTTTTTAACGAGATATGAGTATGGTAAAATAATGACTAAGGGAGAGTGTTATGAATATTTTATTATTGTATGGTCATTATTCCAGTTATTTTATCTATTGGATAAACAAAGAATCAAGTATATGTTGGACTAACGAAGAGTTAAGTTTGTTACATATGTAAAGTCTCATATATTTTCATTTGTAACAGTGACAAAAAGATATCAATAAGAAAATTTTCACTCTGATCCATCTTAGAATTCTTCTATCTTTTTTTTTGAATGACAAAGGAAACCCCACAATCCTTTCAAGTGTAAGTAAACCTTACCTTATGACCCTAACCGGCAAAGGACCACAAGGAAGTAAATCACTCCAATTCATCTCACCTTCTTTTGGATGACGAGGGAAATTCTACAACCCTTTTGAGTGTGAGTAAACCTGCCTTGTGATCCTAGCCGACAAAGGCTCAAACCAAAGGGTCAAAGATTCGAACTTGTGACCTTGTGATTACAAGTGTGGATCCATTGCCATCTTTATTTGGGTTACCCCTAGAATTCTTCTATCTTCTTTGGAGAATCCATAGTTCTCTTCATCTCTTGTCATCTTGGTTGAGGTTACCCCAGTAAAAAGATCCATAGTTCTCTTCATCTCTTGTCATCTTGGTTGAGGTTACCCCAGTAAGAGAATCCATAGTTCTCTTCTTCTTCTTTTCTTGATTTTCTAATTACACTACTATTGAGAGCTATCATGCTGCTGATGTGTTATAAATTTGTTACAAATGAAAACATAGTCTTTATATAGGCAACAAACTTGACTTTTTGTTAATTCAAGAAATACTTGAACCTTCATCCAAGAGGTAAAATAAGTGGGTTAATGGACATACAGCAATAACATATTCATAACAAATTTAACATTTTTTGGATTTACACATTCTATGATGCTTTTGTTTCCTAGTTCTCTACGGTGCCAAAAATCACGATGATAAGTTAATTTTTTTTTTTTTAAATCACTACAAAAAATTTTGTAATTTGCAATGGTGAAATTTTATTGCAAAACCCTTAAATTTCGTTGCAAATTGAAATTTGCAATTAAATTGCAACAAGCTTACATACTTACATTACTTTTGCAACATGCATAAGAATCTAAAATAAGTTTATAATCCAACTCACAAACTACTGCCAACAAATATTCTTGAACCAATTTCACTCAAAATATTTTTATTTTTTAAATGTATAAATAAAATAAATATAAATATTATTATTAAAAAACTCACTTATTGAATATCACAATTAAAACTTCTTAATGATAAAATTTATATATATAAATTTCATTTGTACCGAAAAAAAAAAAAAAGAAGAAGAAAAAAAGATAATAACAAATTTAAATTTAAAAAATCTAGAGTAAAATGAAATTATTTAATATATTTTTATTTGATTATTCTAGTTCATGTTGCCATGTAGACCCAAATCCATGATAACATTGCAAATAGTTGACATTCCATAACAACTTTTATTCTAAAATAAAAATTAAAAAAATCAGGTGCATGTATTGCTATGTAAGCAAAATCTCATTATTGTTTCCAACAGAAACTGAGTTAAAAAGAGATTACCAAGTATAATAAGCATGGGAAGGACATTTAGAATCCAAAATTTTAAAAGAACTAAAAATATTCCCAAATCACTGTTAATGCTTGTTTTTATAGAAAGAAATACTTCTGGGCTTTAATAGAACAAACAAGTATAAAAGAGGATTCTCATAACTCATAACAAGGCAACAAAATTACTCCAAAATCTCAAGATACCAAAACCTAATTCATTCTCCTAATCAGTTCATTGATGAAATCTTCACGGTTTCCAGCATCTCCTCCTTCAACATAGTGATTCCTCTTCTTCTTAAGGCCACCCAAGGGTGCCTTGAGTTGGAAAGGCCAAAGGAAATTGTTGGCTTCCTTAAAATGAGGTCCAACAGTCAGGATCTCATGAACAAGATCCTCAATACAGATTATGTTGTGTTTTCCTAGAGTCTGAAAAATAAAAAAGAATCCTCAAAAATCAGGTGGGCACAGTCTATAGAGAAATGCAACTTAACTTGTGGAAGCAAACATACCTGTTCAATAACAGAGTTATCTGTCAAGGCAATCCTCTGCTTGTTCACCTTGCCATAACCCCTCTTGTAAATCAATTCCCTTACACTCTTCAAATTTGGGTACCTTTGAAATCAAAGCTGATGAATCAGAACAATTACATATAAAACTTTCTAAAATTCAGATAGTAAATGAGCAATACCCATAAGTCACATATGGCTCAACTTTGTGCAGCATATTCACTGTAGCTTTGTTGACCTTGAGGAATACACCATTGAAAATCTACACAAGAATAGCAGGTCAACATATTTGAAATGGGAAGTAAGCAGAAATGCTTGATATCAATGGTGAGATGAAAGAACTACAGAGTAATAGGCCATTCACCTGTCTTAGACGGAGAAGCTGCAATATCTTTTTGGTATTTGGGTGCATGGCATTGATACTGGAATCCATCCCATGAGAAGCAAGATAAATGAACTGTAGTAAAAGGAAATGTAACACTGTATGATCAACACAAAATAGAAGAGTGTTCATACCCACGGATGCGAATGATGAACAGCAGCTTAGCTTCAGGGTTGACGTAAAAGCCTCCTTTCAACCTGGCCTCACGCTTCAACTGAATCAGCTCCTTTTGCTGCAATGTACATGTTAATGTTATATACAATAATTGTAAACATCTAAGTTGCTACTTACAAGTAAATTCAAACATCAAAGATAATCAAAATGCCCAAGGACTACCTGCTCCTCATATTCCTTGGCATACTGCTTAGCTCTGCAAAAGATAAGCTTGCGGTTTTCAGCATTCTTCTTCTTAACAGCTGCAAGTTCCTGCTTCTTGGCCAATGCCCACTCCTCATTCCTCTTCTGCTTCTTCAATACAGACTCGGGTACAACAGGGCCTCCTTTGGTTTGTGCTTCAGCCATTTCTACACATTACACAAGTTTATAAGCTAGCAATCCTTGAAAATGACTAATTCAACTAAGAACTACCAGAAGACAAGGCTCCATAAGGAAACAAACATAGTACACCAAGCCATTTTGCCCTTCCAGGTCTAAATAGCATATGTAACTCATAAAAGAACACAAAAACGAAGCTACAGCCTCTTGTATTACAAGAGGAAAATGATAACAAAAAGCAACAAGTACAAAAGACGATTGGATCATAAAAAGGGAAAGACTTTATGGACAAATTAAGAATAAGTGTACCACTGGTAGCAATACAGAAGAAACATATGGGGTTTTACATCTCCATAGTAAGTGGTGACTTTAGATCTCAAATGACACAACCAAACATGCATCAAACCATATCACGGATTACTAAAGTATAAATTTCAGTAAAAATCCGCTCGCTTGAGCTCATCATTCTTTCGTCAGTGACAGTAAAATCTAAATTCAGCTTTAAAAAAAAAAACATAAAAAAAAAAAAAAAAACAAATCAAGTTTCTACGCTATAACATTTTGAAAAGCACTGAACAAAATCAGATTTACACAATAAAATGTAAGAAAAACATATACTGAACATCTAAATGACGATACATTCTGATAAACCCCTCAAAACTTCATAACAATAATATTAGCAAGCTCAACTATTATCGTAATTTCAGAATAAACACGGTGAATGAAGCAAATCAAGATGTAGGAGCCAAGCAGAACTTACGGAGTTGCGCGATGGAGACGACCGGGCAGTTTCTCTTTCCTTGCAGCCTCAAACCTTGGCCAGAATAGAAGAGAAAGCAGAGCTTTATGTGAGCTAGGGTTTTTTAAAACATGATTGAACGTCAAAGAGTTGCGGGCCGGTACTCAAGGGCCCATTAGTCTGTGCTGGATTAACTTGGACTGTACTGAATGCCTTATTATTTAAAATTGGGCTTCCTTTATTTTCAATGGCCCTCTATTAGACAATAGGCCCAACATGCTATTCGGCAATCGTTATGCATCCGCATGGTGTACACGGATGCAAAAATGACGTCGTTTTACTTTTTTTAAAAAAATCATTTTCGATTGTCGTTAGTTACGTAAATATATGTTCATAATTTTATAATTTCACATTCTAAGTTTATAGTTATGACATTATGGATATGTAGTTATGCAATTTTGGATTTATAGTTATGAAGTTATGGATGTGTAATTATGCTGCAATTCTGAATGTATAGACGTATAGTTATGAAGTTATAGTTTCACATTCTGAATGTATAGTTATTAAGTTATGGATATGTAGCTATGCAATTCTGAATGTATAGTTATGAAGTTATGAATGTGTAGTTACGCATGCAATTCTAGATGTATAGTTATGAAGTTATGCAATTCTGATTTTTTTTTTTAAAGTCGGACGTCAAAACGACGTCAATTTTTGCAACCGTGTGCACCATGCATGGTGCACACGGTTGCACAGCATAACGCTCATATGTTGTGAGCACGTGCCCACCTTGCATGGTGCGCAGGAATCTATATTCATGATTTCTATATTCTATATCCATAATTTATAGACTCTCGGTGAGCTAAAATTTATACTTTAGATTCATAATTTTTAAAACCGTAGGATCCATAATTTAAATACAGTAGATCAATAATTTCTATATTGCACTGATTTGTGAAAACATGGTTCAACAATTGGAATCTAAAGTATAAATTTTAGCTCACCGAGATTCTAGAAATTATGGATCTACAGTATAAAAATTATGGATATAAATTCGTGTGCACCATGTGCATGGTGGGCACGTGCTCACAGCGTAATTTGCCGCTATTCGCAGTTGTTTCTAGAGAAAATTGCATTTTTCGTTTCTAACTTATATTATATTTGTATAATTTGTCCTAATTTATTGGTCGTACTCACTTCTCATTCTTAAACTATAATTGACGTTATAAATTTCGTTCATAATATTTTGTTTAAAAATGATGAAATTTGTAATAAGGATAAGAAATGAGCACGACTAATAAGTATGGACGAATCTTTCAATTACTGTAACTTAGGAACGAAACAGTTTAATTTTCCATTGTTTTTAATTTGCATGTTATATGGTGGATCATAGTGTACATTGCAATGTGAGCTTTGGTTTCAAAGGAAGCCATTTTGTTTAAATTAGTACTGTTTTTTTTTTTTTTCTTCATTTAAATGCCCGCTAGGTGGGCTTCCAAAGGTCCCTAGCTAGACTTCCCCCTAGTTAGGTTCCCAAAGAGATATTGACGTTATTTGGTAAAATTGTTAGTCTAATGATATATTAATTAATTTTGACTTATTTGATCATTATTAATTATAAATAATTTTTTCGTTTAACTTTTTAAAAAAGTCATTTTGTATGTAATTAGCTATCAGCTAATAATTAATTTACTAAACATCTTTTTACAATAAACTAATGCTATTTATTAGTCAAATTCTCTAACTCAATTAACTAATAACTAATTACCAAACACCCCTTTACCCTAGGAAAAGGCACTATAGAAAATATATTAGGCTTGAGAAAAAGACCATAGAGAAAAGATACTTGGGAGAAAACCATGGGCGCAAGGCCTTCGGTTTTTCTTGACATAACTCCCTATAAGAAGCCTTCCGTGTTGCCTTAAGCTTCCCTCATTCTTTAGCCTTCTAGGCCTTGACCATCTTGAAGCATGTCAACCAAAAAAAGAAGGGTAATGGAAACATGTGGACCTAAAAACAAAAGGGTGATGCAGGCACACCAGCCCAAAAATGAATGGTGTTGGAAGACATGTCAAATTACTAGGTAGTCATAACGGATAAATGACTAAAATGTGTAGTCGAAGTTGAGAAATTTTCAAATTATGTCGCTTTTTTTTTTTTTTTGACAAAAATATGCAAAACTCCTTTGGGAGTTGCGTTTTTGGTGTATATTTTTTTTTCATGTATTTCTGTAAAACGCAAGAGGTAGTTGCGTTTACGTATTCGTATACGTAAGACGCATTACGCTCTTGCGTTTTTCAACGGATACGGTATCCCCAAAACGCAACTTACTTTTGCGTTTTACGTATTAAAACGCAAAAGTAAGTTGTGTTTTTTACCTTTTTTTGTACCGGCCGTCTCCGGCGAAGTTGAAGGACGGCGAGAACCACAATATATAAAACGCACCGGCGTCGGAACCGCCGGATACTATGGCATAAAACCCTATAAATATATAAACGCACCGGCGACAAAAGCATGGATAGTTGCAGCGATTTTTTGCAGTGTTTATTTCGACGAGATTCTCATTTTTTTTAACATTTGGGTGTTGGGTTTCTGCCATTTTTGTTTTTTCAGTCTATTTTGTGGGTTGGCAAATTTGAATTTGCATTGCAAATTCTTGACCTTTTTCGCACTGGGTATCATATGACAGCTTTAGTTTTCTTTTTTTGGTTACTCATCTCTTCGCCGGAACCGCCGGATACTATGGCATAAAACCCTATAAATATATAAAACGCACCGACGACAAAAGCATGATTGATTTGGTCAATCCGTTTTATTCAAAAAACGCAATTCATTCTTGCATTTTTGTAAAATTCCGGCGAAGTACGCATCTCCCAAATGCGTTTTAACGTATTCAATACGTAAGATGACAACGCATCTGGGAGATGCGTTTTTCGTATACAATACGAAAAACGCAACTACCAATTGCGTTTTAAGTAATTAACGAAAAAAAAAAATACGGCTGAAATACCTCCAAAAACGTAAGTGGTAACTGAGTTTTGCATATTTTTGTCCAAAAAAAAGTCAGCACACATTTTTGTCATTTCTCTTGCCCCTCTACACATTCCTGTCATTTATCCTAGTCATAACCGGGTGACGGAAGGGGCTCCCCGTGTCGCAACAAGTGAAGGTGGGTGCCCCACTGCAGGGGCCGAGTGCACCAATAACACCCCGCGCGACGGGGGCCTTGAAAGTGACGACATGAAGGGGTGAGGGAGGGTGGAGTGGTAAAGACATGAGTGCAAGGACATGGGGGTGATGGATGTAAAGAACAAATACACATACACTTAGGCCTTAGCAAGTATGGGATATGGTCTCAATAGTATCAAATGGCCCCTCATTTTTTGACATAACGGTGTGGATCATTATAGTACGTACTCATAGTCTAGTAGTGTTTAATCTGGTGTTTAATCCTACTTCAACACAAGTGTGACAAAAGATAATAAGTTATCTTTATCACGTGAGTCTCAAATAAAATTGTAACATCAAATTTTAACGAAGAAATAAAGTATGAAGTAGAACTTGAGAGTCCAAATAATATTTTCATAAAGTAATCCGTCATTAACTTTAGGGTGTGTTTTTGGAAACCCGAAAAATGATATTTGGAAATCGTTTTTCGGGTTTTTAGTGCTTGGTGATGCTTGAAAAAATAAAGTCATGGAAAATCAATTATGATCAAAGGGAAAATCACATTGTTTTTATGGAAAACAACTTCCTGTTTTTTTGAGGGGAAGTCATTTTCGAAGCCTCTTCTCTTCGCTTCGCTTCTTTCAGACATTCTTCCTCAAGCATATTCCATAACTTCTCCCTCAACGACATTCTGGTAACTCTGAAGACAAAATCGGTGACCAACGACAACGGAACCGTAGCCGGTCCGCATTCTACTATAGAAGGCGACAAGTAGGTCGCCTAACTGGTCACCTTCCCTAGGAGAACTAGAGAAGCTAGGCGACTGGTTTCCAAACACACCCTTAAAATTAAAATCACCCAGCTACATATTAGATCATGGACCTAAATCTACTATGTGATCAGGTGGCAATTTATATCATGGATCATGATCTACATAGCATTATAGATCATTGATCGAAATGACGGGGTACAAAATTTATACTCTTAAAGTACATAATTTCATAACACAAACGCATACACATGTTATATATTTATTTATTTATTCAAATATGATATATGTACATAATTTGTGTTCATAAGCACAAAATTGCACAAGACAAAACACACAAACTCATAACATAAAACACAATTACTAATTTGTGGTACATAATTTCTACTCAAGTACAAAATTTTATGACACAATATATAAAAATTTATAATATAAGACACATAAATATGCTCCAAAATTTACTGTGTATTGTAAACTATAATCCATTGTACAAAGATCGGTGGTCACTGGTCAGGCCATGGTTTGGAAGTGATGGGAGAGAACAATGCCGCAACTCACAATGGAAAATAGCGCCGCGAATGACGTTAATGCTTTTACAAACTCAGTCAAAACCACCGACCCCTTGACAATGCATAGCTACCTAGTATGACAACAAATAATCAGGTGTCTCAATCCCCAAAAAGAGTTATCGAGTGGTGAATTTCTTTTATTTTTTATTTTTTTTATATTTTTTATTACGGAGTATAAAAGTATAAATTTAATGTTTTCAACAAAAAAAAAGTATAAATTTAATTTTTATTAGCACTCTCTAAATTAAGTAGGTTTAACTAGAACATACTTTAAAAAACATATAATTAAAATAAATGTAATTTTATTTAAAACATAAAATTGAGCATCATAAATCAAACAAAAAACAAGTATGCAACACCCCTCTTAAATTTGAACATCATAAATGCAATTTACATTGTAATAACCTTGGCAAGTTCACAACAATGTCAATATTATTGAGATAGTTTGAGATTGAAATATAACATTATTTATTATGTTTCTATGTAGGAACAAGTAGTACATAATTGTTTTTTTAAAAAAAAAAGTAGTACATAATTGATTTAGCTGGATCGGATCAAGATGCTTTGGATTATAGTCATTCATATTGTCTTCCGGTCTAACACATTACTAATGGACACTTTAATTTTATAAATGTAACAAACTTAATAATTATAAATTTGACATTGTATTTTTTTAAAAATAAACTCATCAACAATGATGTGCGGTTATGATTGATCATCACATTTTACAGGAAGTCTATGTTCTCATTTAAACAATTGTAGATGTGTCAATAAAAACATATATGGTTCAATTTATAAAATTACATAAGCCAACAATTTTTTTAAAAATAATCACATTACTCCTAATTTAAATTAATTAGATGTCAACATAATAGGTTATTTAATTTTAAAGTGTTAATGGCACATTCTTTAGAGTATGTAAACCCTATGTTCAAGAAAAACAATACGGAGTATTTTTTATTTTTATTTTTTTCAGTTTGGGTGAAATTTAGTATTGTCAAAGAGTTGGAGGACTTAAAATAAATGTTACTAAAATATTATAATTGCCTAAGTCAACCATAGTCAACATCGAGGATAATTAAAGGGTGAGAAAATGCATGGTAGTATGGTACTGGAATGCAATAATATATCCCACGAAACTTCATCGTAATTTCCATGCATTATGGTAGACCACACACTACAGTACTTTAGTACTTTAGTGGATGATAGCGGTGCTCATCATCCAACGTTGTCACAGCTACAATAACGAGCACGAGAACTTTGATGACAACAATGTAGAATTATGTCTAAAGTTGACAGATCCTTTATATGTATTAGTATTTAATTTACATCATCCTGAATGCTCTATCAGGATCGGGATGTGGGGGACTCTTGAGCTAGGGAGTAAGCTACACAATACCAGAGTCAATATTTAAATTTATTGGGGTCAATCGACTTATTTAATATTATTATTTCTTAAAATATATGTATATATTGTTATAAGTAGTACAATTTTTTTTACACTAAAAGACTTGAACCCTAAACACTTTTCACATAGAGGAGCAACCGGATACCAATGGACCACAAGGTCTTTGGTGTGAATGCTATAAATTGATCGACTATAAATAAAATAATTCTGCCTATAGATTTAATTATTGAAAAATAAGAAAAATTTCCATCCATCTTCTAAGTGACATGCACACAAGTAAAGGACATGACGGAATCACCTCATCTGGAACTCTTCAATTTCGATGTCATTCACTAGAATTTTCAGTTGTACATCGTATCGTAGCAACTTATTGCATATTGTTATTATATATTTTTATTTAGTATTTAATTTTTATATATTTAAATAATTTTAAAATTCTTCAACAAACGCAATTATATATGAAAAATGTATAAAATGAGTATGATAAAAATTGATATAAGTATCTTAACTATTCAATAATTTAAATATGACCACAAATATTATAACAAAATTTTTTAAAGAGATATAAACTTATAGAACATAGTGAATTCCTTTGACTTTGATAGTTGTATTAAGAGTTCTTATTCTTTCATGCTCTTTGAGAATTAAAGAGAATTTGTCTCATCTCTCCGATAATTTTCAAATATAATTACAAATACTAAAATATTAAAAAACACATTTGAAAAATGAATGGGGGGAAATTATAGAACTATAGTAAATTTCATTAACTTTAATAGTTTGATTTGTTCGTTGATCATTTAAAATGTAAAAAGTTAAATCATTTTAGTACAAAAATAATTAAAAAAATTGAAGATTTAAACAAATAAGACTATATTTAAGTATGTATTATATCCGAGCTTTAATTTTTTTTTTAATATAAAATATTCAAGTCATTATGAGTTTTATTGAAATATTTTATATAATCAAATTTCAGTATCAAACAAATCATATTTTGTTTAGTAATAAGCCATGCTATATATATATATATATATATATATATATATATATATATATGGGTGAGAATAATAATGTCAATACATAATTGAAATTTGTGAGAATAGAAAAAAGTATTATATAAAAAGTAAATATTGTTTTTAATTGCTCAATATAATCATAATTCAATATATTTTGATGAGTTAATTTTAAATTTATATATATATATATATATACACACACATATATAGATAATAAAAAAACAAATACAAGGTGATGCACAGAGATTTGCTTTGTATGAGCGTGTTATTCCGGCAGTGGTGATCAATCTCCGTTTATTTCATTTCCTTTCTGGTTCAGTGGTGCGTAGCGGTGTTGTGGCGGCTCCATAATGACATCCGATGATAAAGGAGGCGTAGAGGATAACGAGATGACGTCCAAGTTGAACTTTCAAGCTGTATCGTCGTCGTCAACGGTATCAGATGCAATGCCTTCACATGAAGGCGACTTGGAGGCGGGCAAGCCTGATGTTGCCAACGCAAACCAGAGCGGAGGCGCTGCTGATGGCTTCTCTGATCCTTTTGATATTGCCAACACCAAAAAAGCGTCCGTCCAGGCGCTCAAACGGTGGAGGGTAAGGACTGATCTGTGAAACTTTGATGGTGATTATCACGTGGGAGTGGTTTAGTATTAGGCATTCTTTGTTTGATCACTATCTTGATTGTTTAATGTGTTTGGTTGTTATATCTGTCTATTTAATAATGGAAACATTGTTATTTTGGTTGTTAGATTTTAATTTCTTAGGTTTTACAGTGTTGGTAATAGGAATTTCTTTTGGATGAACCAAAAGAGCCATTTCGATGCAACCCTGGAAATCCGTTGGCGATAAAGCTAGAGAAACTAGCAATTCCATGAGTGTATATGTAATATGTCTATCTTGCATTATCCATGACATGCCTGAGTTACTCTTGTTGGACTGTTTTTGTCTAAAACACTAATAAAAAACAAATGTCTATTGCTCTTGGTGACATTTCTATGGTTGTCAGTGTTCATGTGATGGGAGATTCATACTGATATTCTCCTTTTCTTCTGGGTTGTCTATTACAAATATGATGCCTGCTGCATATGCTATTTTCCATTCTCCCATTGGAAGTCATATGGTGAGCCATCTGATATTCTCAATTGTAATCCATGATATGAGACTATTGAACTGTACTTTTCCAGCTGTCTATTTAGAATCAACTGGTGAGGTTTGAAGTACTCAGTTGATTGACTAAACATCGGACATGGCTCTTATATAACATGAGGACTAAGTGGAAGAAGATGCATTTAAAATCATCAAATTGTGGGGTTTAGGGCATAGCTTGGTATTAAGCTACACCTTTTCTCAGCAATATGCTTGGGTTGGAATCCCACCTCCCCCAACCCTTATCATATGTACAAAAAAAACGCATCAAACTATTGGAGATGGTAATTAATTCATCCAATTTTGGGAGTTCTGTTGGAATTTCCATCTCTTGATGAACTAAACTAATCTTCTACTTCATTTTTTTCGGGAGGAAGGTGCTAACTAGTGAAGATTTTTCCCTTATATTATGTTCTCCTCTTTGTTAGAGCTTGTATATAAATGACAGAATTCCGTTTTCTGCATCAATCTCCATTTGTCAAATTTGGTTTTATTGTTTTCTACCGATTTCTTAAGCTTTCTTGATATTTCATCAAACAGTTGTGCACACCTTTGCATAAGGACTGTGCTTAAAGTTGGAGTTTCAGATGTCCTTTTATAGTTTTGCTCTTCTGAGCTTTCCTTTTATCTTTCTGACTTAGTCTTAAAATTGACAGCAAGCTGCACTTGTTCTCAACGCTTCACGTCGATTTCGCTATACTCTGGACTTGAAAAAGGCAGAACAGAAAGATCAGAGAAGAAGAATGATTAGAGCACATGCCCAAGTCGTAAGGGTAATGTTAAATTCCATTCTTCAGTGCTGTTTAGTCGCTATAGCAAATAACTTCTAATATTGATCAGTTTGTCTTATAGGCCGCATTGCTTTTCAAACTGGCTGGGCAAAGGGCAATTGGTATGTATTATGCAAACATCCCGTGTCTAAAAGCCTACAGTGAAATGTAATGAATTTGTTCAATCTTGGAATTAATCTTATGCTTCAAGTCTGTTGAATAATGGTTATTGGAGTATAAACAAAAAATTATATAGTAACATCTCTGTTGGATTTGGATTTGTGGACAAGTTTTAAAAGGGAGAAAATGGTGAGAAGCATTTTGGTGAAGTATTCACCAGAGAACAGAGAAGAGCACTTGGGCAGTTGTTCTGCCTGCCTTATTATATTCACTGTCTTCCTTTTTCAATTTTTATTTTTATTTGTATCTTCTCTACTGGGGTGGCAGTGGGTATCAAATTGGCATAGTGGAGATATTTCTTCTGCAAAAGTGCTCTTTTTGATTTACTTGATCTGCATGCTTTCATGTTCACTATATAGGTAAACTCATGACCTGCGTCCAATTGTTGTTATGATTCCAAGATATGCTTCAGAGTTTAGTTATTGGGTAGGGTGGTGTTATTTGCATATAAGAGAAGGTTCATGCCGTTCATTTGTCTCTGATGTGAGCAGTGTACTTTCAGAAGGGCTAATAGTGTTGCCTAAGCACTAATATGGCATGAAACTGATGCTTTTGATTGCCTCCAGTGAAAAAAGAAATAAGCAGTGAAGAAAGAGGAATGTTGTGGAAAAGATTCTTACCCTTGAAATCTTGTAGATAATCTTTCTTAGTTCTGTTGCTCTCAGGGATTCTTTTATTGCCAATAATCCAGTATGAATATGCCAATCTTGTCAATGTTTTGGCTGCTTTTGGTACAACTGATGCACAGCATTTCTAATTGTTTCAAGTGATAACATATTTGAAATGATATTGGTTATGTATCAGTTATCAGTCGTGTAATTGCCTCCATGCTTCTGTGTATCGGTTTGTGTTGCTTGGCTATATAGAATTATCTTATCAATATATGTTTGGTTTGTTAGTGTTGGGGGCCTCAGTTACTCCTCCAGTTCTGAGTGGTGATTACGGAATCAGTCTTGAGCAATTAGTTTCAATTACAAGGAATCAAGATTCTTCTGCCCTGCAACAAAATGGAGGGGCAAGTCAAATTCAATTCTATTTCCTTTTACATTAGGGCCCATCTATTTACCTTTAGACTTACTAATAGCATTCTTCACTTTCTTCAGGCCAAAGGCTTATCAGGAAAGTTAAAAACAAATCTGAATACAGGAATCATTGGGGATGAGGATGAATTGTCAAAGCGTAGGAATACTTTTGGATCAAACACATATCCTACCAAAAAGGGCCGCAGTTTTTTGGTATAATTTTAGTTCACGTGTTTTTATTGATGATATTATTATAAGGAAGCTTAGATATAACAACTAATATTCTGTTTCTTATAACTTTCCTGCAGAGGTTCCTTTGGGAGGCTTGGCAAGATTTGACCCTCATCATCTTAATAATAGCTGCCGTGGCATCTCTGGGACTTGGAATAAAAACAGAAGTATGTGTACCTCTCTTATTGTTTACTTTAGAGAATCTACTCCAGTGAAGTTGTATAAGGATTGCTGACTCATGCATTTTGTCTTAAGTTTGTTTTAAGTTCCCAAATAATTCCTTGCTGTTAATAATATAGAACGGATCACAGGCATAGTCTAGTTAAACATGTATAATAGATAAAATCTATTTGTGCTTTTCAAAAATTTGAAGGCATTGTACTGAGGAGGGAGTTTCTGCAAGATATGCAGATTTTGTTTTGATGGACCTACAAGTTGTTTGTTACTTTTTGTAGTATTGCTTCCTATTACTGTATCTCTCTATTAAATTTCTTTTACCCTTTTTTTTTGTCGTTTAAAGTATTGTACTTTTGATCTTTGCAGGGTCTTTCAACAGGGTGGTATGATGGTGGTAGCATCTTCTTTGCTGTTTTTCTTGTTATTTTTGTAACAGGTAAACAACTGATGTTACCTTTTCATTTATAGAACGAGAAAACATGCACATCATCCATTTTATATATGACAACTTTAGTGATTTTTCTAAGATTCCAACTGTAGTTGCTTCTCTTGAGAGTGTTGACTATAATTTTGGAATCATTAAGAAAATCATGAAAGCTCAAAGAGGAGTGAGCTTTTGGTTTTATGTCTAGTCATTCTCAGATGTAATCTAAATCCATCTAGGTGTTAATTAGTTTTCATATTTATCCTATTATTGTTGACTTCACATTCCTGGCTGATTGGTTTCTTCTTTGTTATGTCCTCTGTGCTTTGTATTCCACATGAGGATCATATAGTATATATTTTCTTTACTTTTTTTTTTGAAAGTAATATTTTCTTTACTAATAGGCTCACTCTGTGTATATTTTATTTAGCAACAAGTGACTACCGGCAGTCTCTTCAATTTCAAAACTTAAACGAGGAAAAGCGAAATATTCAAGTGGAGGTAATTTGAAGTCAAGGAAGGATTTTTATTATTATTTTTTTTTTTTTGCAATTATTTTCTTTTTCTATTTGTTTTCTGTTATTTCAATTAATCAATACGATTATTTCATTGTTAAACATGCATGCACATAAATGATCTGAAGGTTATTAGAGGTGGCAGGCCAGAAAAGATGTCAATATATGAAATAGTTGTTGGTGATATTATACCTCTCAAGATAGGTGATCAGGTGAGCATGATCATTTCTGTTCACTTCCTTGGCGTTATCATTTTCAAAGATGGATTTGATTCATTGGGTCTTCTTCAATTCCAGGTTCCGGCTGATGGAATCTTAATAAGTGGTCATTCTTTGGCCATTGATGAATCCAGCATGACCGGTGAAAGCAAGATTGTAAGCTGGTTCTTACTTATCTTTTAGGACTATTGACCAATTGATTATAATTTTCAATTTTCATATACAAGATATTGGTTTTTGTAGATGCAAAAAGATTCAAAGTCACCTTTCTTGATGGCTGGTTGCAAGGTAGCTGATGGTGCTGGAACAATGCTGGTAAGATATTCATCTTCAGTATTTTGCCAATTCTAGATGTTTTGTAGGTTGTAGGGATTTAAAACTTTTGGCATACTGTTCAAGCATATAACTTTTTAATGTTTTGGTTTCTAATTCAAATCACTTGTTTAACAATTTATTTTGAGAAGGTGCCTGAGCTTTTAATAATATACGGGTGACTTCTTTTCCATCTCATTCCATGTTTTATGGATGATAACCATTTTATTTTCTCTTGTTAGTTAATTGAAATGATACAACTGTTAATGTCGTTTGGGCTTGTAGCTTGTGAAACTTGTGTATCATGTTAAATTAAAGAGCATTCATAATTTTATATTGGAAAAAAGGCTAGTTTTTACTAATTTCTCATTATAATTTACCCAAATTTTATGTTTTTAGGTAACTGGTGTTGGAATTAATACTGAATGGGGATTGCTGATGGCAAGTATATCAGAGGATACTGGTGAAGAGACCCCATTGCAGGTTAACTATTGCTGCTAACAATTATCCAGGATTTATACATAAAAATGTTTAAACTTATTGTAGTTTCTGATTGTATATGGCAGGTGCGGTTGAATGGTGTTGCAACTTTTATTGGCATAGTGGGCCTTGTGGTGGCACTCACTGTGCTAATTGTTCTTTTGGTTAGGTAAATTCTCTACCATATGGCATATTTCTTTCACCATTCTCACGCTGTTTTATGAGATGTAGTTATTCAAATTTTCTACAGATTTTTCACCGGGACTACTAAAAATCCTGATGGAAGTGCTGAGTATGTTAGGGGAAAGACTAGTGTTACTGAAACAATTAATGGTGTGATACACATCATAACTGCTGCAGTAAGTTCTATCTGTAAATTTAACCTAATTTTCACTGTTTCTTTTACTCACAAGTCTGACATATTAAGTTCTCTCTAGGTTACCATTGTAGTTGTTGCAGTCCCAGAAGGTCTTCCCTTGGCTGTTACTTTGACGTTAGTATTGCATAACTATCACCTAAACCCAACTGCTTAACAAAAAATTGCTTTCTGCCTAGCTTTAATCTTTCTTGAACTTGTGACAGCTTAGCATATTCGATGAAGAAAATGATGGCTGACAAGGCCTTGGTATATACTGTTTCTTTCTATTTCCTTAATCTGTTTGACTGCTGTATATTTAATTTTGGCATATGATTGTTTACAGAAAAAGTCATTTTCAGGTGCGCAGACTTTCAGCTTGTGAAACTATGGGTTCTGCTACAACTATCTGTAGCGATAAAACTGGCACATTAACCCTGAATCAGGTAATTGTTTGCAGTCCGTGTTCTTTTTCTCTTCAAACAGAAATTGTCAACTACATTTTCTGCTGTTCATTTAGGTTGAGTAAATCATCAGTGTTGCATATTATGAGGGTGCTATCACACTGCAGATGACAGTAGTTAATGCCTATGTTGGGAAAAAGATGATAGATCCACCCGAAGATGGCTCCCAAGTACACCCAGTTGTTTGTCCTTTACTAGATGAGAGCTTAGTGCTGAACACAGCGGGCAGTGTTTTTACTTCTAAGGTACTTCTTTGTTATGTCTCAACTCTATTTCCATCCTCTCTGTACTCTTCACACATGTGCCTTGTGGGCACTGATTTTTTTGGGGTGACGAGAGAAACCCGCAACTACTATTTGAGGGCGTGCACTGGGTAAACCCCACCTTGTGACCCTAGCCGGCAAAGGACCACAAGGAGATAAACTAGCTTACGTTGTCCATAGCTGACTGGCTCAAACCAAGAAGGCTGGGGTTCGAACTCGTGACCTTGTGGTGACAAGTTTGTATCCTTAGCCAACTTGGCTGGGGTTACCCCCTGAGGGCACTGAGGGGTGGTGGTGCTTTCTTAGCTTGTTTCTATAAGTCTGTTGCAGTTCTAATAAGATAGCCCTCTTAAAATGTTATTCAGTAATAGTTGTCATGAATGTTTTGCTTGCAAAATCAACACCAGAATATATAGGATGCCGTCTTTGTATTAAGAAGAGACAGCAGATAAATAATCTCATTTTTCTTCATTGTTCATTTACCTTTATTTTCCTTGGAGTTTTACAGTGACTCAGATACCGTTAGGAGCTAGAAACTTACTTGAAAGGTTTCATCGTTACGTACACCTTTGTATGCAATATTATCTGTTTCTCCCTGAGGGCACTGAGGGGTGGTGGTGCTTTCTTAGCTTGTTTCTATAAGTCTGTTGCAGTTCTAATAAGATAGCCCTCTTAAAATGTTATTCAGTAATAGTTGTCATGAATGTTTTGCTTGCAAAATCAACACCAGAATATATAGGATGCCGTTTTTGTATTAAGAAGAGACAGCAGATAAATAATCTCATTTTTCTTCATTGTTCATTTACCTTTATTTTCCTTGGAGTTTTACAGTGACTCAGATACCGTTAGGAGCTAGAAACTTACTTGAAAGGTTTCATCGTTACATACACCTTTGTATGCAATATTATCTGTTTCTCTTTGATATATTGTTCTAATGCCATCTCTCCTTTGTCTTATGTGTCCACCTTAATAGGATGGCAGTGGAATAGGGGTTTCTGGATCTCCTACGGAAAAGGCCATTCTGACTTGGGGTGTTAAGGTATTAGTTTTTTATATTATTGAGTCTATATTCTTGCTTATTAATGGTTACTTATTTTTGTTATTTAACTTCCAGTTGGGGATGAAGTTCGATGTTGTTAGATCAGATTCTGTAGTCCTTCAAATTTCTCCTTTTAACTCTACAAAAAAACGAGGAGGTGTTGCAGTGAGAGGACAGGTAATTGACTTTTCCTGGATTTCAATTCTCCTAGATCATGTACTACTATACTATACTATACTAGAATTTGTATTGGTTTTGTGTTTGAATCCTCTGATCATTTCTCACCTTCGACTTCGTTAGCAGAGTAACTCTCAGGTCCATGCACATTGGAAGGGAGCAGCAGAAATCATTTTAGCATCATGTACAGCGTACTATGACTCAAATGGCTGCTTGCAGCCCATTGAGAATGAGAAGGTCTGTATTTATTGCAAAATGAACTGGATCTAATAGATACTACTTTAGGATGATTTTCAGATATTTGAGTTTCAAAACATTATTACAAGTAGTGAAAATGAGGATTTTTAGTCTCTCACCAAGTATATGTACGTACTCTTTTTAGTAATTGCATTTGTTGTTTCAGGATTTTTTCAAGGGAGCTATTGAAGATATGGCGGCAAGAAGTTTGAGGTGTGTTGCAATTGCCTACAGAAGTTGCGATACTGACAAAGTTCCAACTGATGAAGAGCAGCTGTCAGAATGGCAAATGCCTGAAGATGATCTTATTTTGCTTGCCATTGTTGGCATAAAGGTATTCATTGCTGGTTATGTTTTGTCTGCTTTTGACCTTTCTTCTCCATTGTGTGTGTTAGGTGGTAGGTATAACTTTGAATATCTGTGTGCAATCAACCAGAGTAATACGTAAACATCACATGGTGTGCTTCTTCGCTCAACATTTCATATTATAGGGTAATAACTTTCTATTTCCTTGCACAGGATCCTTGTCGCCCTGGTGTCAAAGATGCAGTGAGACTCTGCACTAATGCTGGTGTTAAGGTATCGCACCCCCCCCCCCCCCACCCCACCTTTTTTTTTTGTTGTTTTTTTTTTTTTTAACGGGAAGGAAGCTCTATCAACATCCATCATGAGAAGTAAGAGTGTTAGCGAATAGAACTTTCGGTAAACTATCCGTGTTTGTGTTCGGTAAGCGCTGGTCTATGTTCATTTATTAAGGTAAATGAACATAAATGGTAGCAAGTGGTTATCAATCTTGGCAGTAAATCTGCATGTTTTGCCATAAGAAAGTTCCAGTGGCAGGATAATCTAGACTGCAATTCAGCAGTAGCAGTGCTATGTTATGATTTTGTTTGCATTACTAAGTAATGATGACACTTTACATGTGTAAACTCTTAGGTGCGCATGGTTACTGGAGATAATATTCAAACTGCTAAAGCAATAGCTTTGGAATGTGGAATTTTATCTTCCGATGCAGATATTACAGGGGATGATATAATTGATGGGAAGACATTCCGTGAGTTGCCTGAAAAGGAGAGAGAAGAAGTTGCTAAAAGGATTTCGGTTAGTTATCAAATTCATATTTTTGTTTAATCATTGACCACATGTTCGAGGCATTAGTGTCTGTCTTCACCTTAATATAACGCTACTAAGTTTTTAGGTTATGGGAAGGTCATCCCCTAGCGACAAGCTCTTACTTGTGCAAACACTACGTAAACAAGGAGATGTTGTTGCTGTAACGGGAGATGGGACCAATGATGCCCCTGCACTACATGAGGTTAATTTCCTTTTTGTTCTTACACACTCTCCCTCTCTTTATGGAATGGGGGGTTGGGTCATGACTCAATATGCTGTTTAATCATGGTTTTCTTAGACTCTTTTGGGTATTTTTCTGTGTTTATTTTTACTTGCTACTTTAATTGCTTGGGTGCTATTTTCCCCTTGATTCCATTTATTTCATGGTATTACACTAAATCTAATTTCAATCCAAAATTTTATACGCCCTGTGTAGGTTTGATATCTTTTTTACTTTGGAATGTATAGGCTGATATAGGTCTTGCAATGGGCATTCAAGGGACAGAAGTTGCAAAAGAGAGTTCAGACATCATTATTCTTGATGATAATTTTGCTTCAGTAGTAAAGGTTGGTAAATAACTTTGAAGAAAAGCTCGATTCCTGGATGTCCACTCATCGGATCCTGGACTTTTTTGTCTGAATGTAGGTTGTACGTTGGGGCCGTTCTGTTTATGCAAATATTCAGAAATTTATCCAGTTCCAGCTGACAGTAAACGTTGCAGCTCTTGTTATTAATGTTGTAGCAGCAATTTCTTCTGGTGACGTTCCTTTGAATACAGTCCAGGTCTTTCTCTTCTTCTTCTTCCTCTTTTATCATCAGTCTCTTTTTCAAGTGTTTCAGTCTTCTTCTTCTTTTATCATTCTGGCATCTGGATGAAAGTAATTTGACATCTTCTTGTATTTCTTCTTCTTTTCAGCTTCTATGGGTGAACCTTATCATGGATACTCTAGGAGCATTGGCACTGGCTACAGAACCTCCAACTGACCATCTGATGCATAGACCTCCTGTTGGTCGAAGGCAAGGATTCATCTTTTATGTTTAGTTTTGATGGATATATTCGGAACAGGTTCAGGGCAAACCGACTTAAGGTAGCATATCAAATCGACTTGGCCTAGCCCCTTAGTCGGCCCCGAAATACCAAAGTCGGCCTCTGAGGCCGACCTCAGCAGTCGCGGCCTCAGAGATGGGGTGCCAGTGGACTAGGTCCCGTAACTGCCCGCCCAATTCGCGTGGGGCGGTTACAGGGGCAACTCTACTCTAGTATATAATGGGTCATTCATCGTCTTAGTGGATCATCTTGACCTTGTCTTATCATTACACAACTTGTAATCCTCTTGCAAACGTCCTTAATACAAGGATTATTGTGTTCCGAGGCAATATATTTTCTTTACGTATTTTCCTTGTCGTCTTCATATTATCCTTTCATTATCGGTATTAGTTAATTCGGGCCTCCCTGATTAATTATTTCCATCAAGTTTTGCTTATGAATGAGTTGTGTGAGACTGATGATAGTGCTTCCTGACATGCTTTCTTTTCAGAGAGCCTCTTGTAACCAATATCATGTGGAGGAACCTGACTGTTCAGGTCAGTAGCCTTGACCTTTTCTATTTCTTTTCTTTCAAAGAATGTTGGAAAGAAATTTCAGTGACATTTGTGTTTGGCAGGCTGTGTATCAAGTTGCTGTTCTCCTTGTTCTCAACTTTTGTGGGAAGAGCATTCTCAACTTAGAGCAGGATAAAACAGAACATGCTAATATGGTGAAGAATACCTTGGTGTTCAATGCTTTTGTTCTGTGCCAAGTAAGTTCCTAACCCAACACCAAAGGAAATCAATTTTATCCCCAGATTATACTTCTTTGAGAACCATCATTAGAAAATAATATTATCTTTTGTTTAATTTTAGTGCAGTGAGTAGCCTCAACTGCTGAACTTAATTAATTGTTGAATTTCAGATATTTAATGAGTTCAATGCTCGAAAGCCTGATCAAATGGATGTCTTTGAAGGGGTGATGAAAAACCATCTCTTTGTTGGGATTGTGGCAACTACTTTCATACTCCAGGTGTGAGGTGGTTTATATCAGGTTCCTGTGTGGACAGTGTTTTTTGTATGACTGTTCGGTCACTAATCATTCGGTATGCATAAATGCACTAAAAAGTGTTCGGAAATGCACCATTAGGTGTGGTGTGGTGTGGTGTATTGATGCATTTTATTGTGATGCATTTTTACATACCTAATGATGAATTCGCACCGACCTCACGGAAAGCAGTGTTCGCATTTGAACCAGTATATATATATATATATATATATATATATATATATATATATATATATATATATATATATATATATATATAATTCCCTTTGATTATTGTAATTAACATCTTGTTTGTTCACCTATTTGCAACAGATTGTTATTATTGAATTCCTGGGAAAGTTCACTTCAACCGTCAGACTCGATTTCAAACAATGGTTGATTTCACTCGGAGTTGGTATTGTCAGGTAAGTACTAATATTCCTTTCAAATATTCTGTCGGACCAGGGTGTAGGAGATCTTTTGGGTTGAGGATTCAACCTTTTGGGTGTCAGGACATGGTAAGTACTAAGTACTAATATATTGGATGGAGCACTAAGTAGCATTTGAATTTTCTATAGTCCAAAATCTGTGTATCAAACTAGATATTCAACGTTTTAAACTATGTGGTTAAACCTTTCAAGAAACCAACCAATCATGCTAATCTAAAATCTAAGCTAAAAGAGTTATATCATTATATCTTTCTATTCATGGTAATATGCAATTTTACTTTTTCCCATTATAATTTTTTTTTTTTTTGTTTTTCAATTTTTACTATTCTGGCAGCTGGCCTCTTGCCATCCTGGGGAAATTGATCCCAGTTCCCAAGACCCCACTGGCAAATGCCTTCCTCAAACCTTATCGGCGATGCATTTCATCTCGTGGTGCTCAATAAATGGCGTCAATTATAATGTTGCTGTCCAAGCCCAACACGCATATTTTCTTTAATATGTGGTCGTGATGCTCCTTTAGCTAATTTACGTTTTTATTTGTTTTCGAAAATCAAATAATAAACAAAATTTGCATCGTTAAGTTCATACCTTAGAATGGCATTGCTAAGCAACGTTTCTGTTTTTGCAAAGAAATGTAAATGGAATGTTATCGCTTTTTAATGGGTAAAATTATTTCAAAAGGATAATACTTAGGGCTGGTTGGATGTAAAAAAAATTTGATAGGAAATAATTTTTTAAAATTTGAGGAAAAAAAAATTATATTATGGAAAAAGTTATTGAATGGAGGAAGTGGTATTTTGTTTTTTCATGGAATTTCAGAACAAAAAATGAACTAATATGATTATTTTGTCCTTACTTTTTATTATTATTATTATTATTATTATTATTATTATTATTATTATTATTATTATTGTGTAGGGACATATATGTCTTTATATTCATTATTTCTTACAATTTCAAATGTAACTAAACAATAAAATCAATATTCTTAGTAATTTTTTTTTTTTACCAACTAAGCAATGAAATCAATCTTTTTCACAGTAATTACTTTTGCATAGAATTTTAATTTCATTTCTCCTCGAGTGTTTTCTGCAAACCAAACCAAACGGACCCTAAATGCATACAAAAAGTTTCCATACAAATTCGTACAATTGCAAATTCGTGGTTTTAACTTTGTATAAAGATAAAGTTCTCCACTCTAGAATATATATATACTACATTACATTCCGCAACATTAGCGGTTTGTTCAATCTTGATCCTCTTCCACAACTTACAAAGAAAAAGGAAAAGATCGCAGTAGTGGGAAATTCTACATTGTCTTGTACTTAGAAGTGCTTAAACAAAAGTAGTATGAGAATCAATCATAGGGCTTTTTCCGGACAGGTTTTCAGTTTTCCATCAACCCTAGCAGAAACATGAATACGCGAAGTGGTTCTTTTTGGAGACATAGTGGGAAATGTGATCGGTTAAAGAAGCCGATGAAGCAGTGATGTCAGCTGGAACAAGAATCTGAGTCTTCCCAGAAGCAATTCTCTTACCAGCTACATTTGCATAGAATAAGCCTGAGATGGCCGGAACGAATACATCACTCTCCGAGCAAATGTAGAAGTCAATAACCTTCTCCAACTCAGATGCATCAGCGTCAAGAAACTTTGCCTTCTTATCAATAGGCATTATACTTTCCTGCAATGTTTTCAAAGCAGATGAGATGATATATCTAGAAGAGAGCCTGCAAATAGAGAGTGGCAAATTCCACGATAAATCTTGCATTCTGCACATAATGGGGGTGTTTGGTAAATAGGTTAGCTGATTGGGTTAGTGGATTTGACTAGTTGATAGCATTAGCTGATTGTAGAAAGATGTTTGGTAAATTAACTGTTAGCTGATCACATGCAAAATGACTTTCTCAAAGAGTTGTATGAAAAAGCTACTTTGAGAAGTTTTTTTGAATTTTAGCATTTTGAAGCAATAAACTGTTACAAAAAGCTAATTAATCAAACACTTATATTGAATGTTTAACCAAGTCAAACATCTAATAGTAGTCAAATAAGTCAAAATTGGCTGATAAGCTAACTATCTTACCAAACAGGATCAATATGTTAATGGTAGACACATAATATGTTAACGGTGCAGACACATAATTTTTGGACCAAGATCCACAATGCAAAGTGGACACTGGCCCATGGTATAACAATTGTAGAGAGTGAGCTACTATTTGACAATAGAGAGACTAACCTTGGTGTAAGTTTTTGGAAAGAGCTCCTTCAGTGAATCGAGGCTGCTATCCCACCGGGTTTGAGTCAAATATATAGTAGTCCCGCTGTTAAAACCAAGTTTTCTCAAGAATTGAGCTATCTCCTGTGGACTATAGCAGCTCTTCGATCTAGGAGAGCCATTTCCCTGGCAACTTTTTTTCCCCAGAATGTCTACCCTCAGGTCCACTGCAACGAACTGGCCACTCGACTTCCGGCTCAATGTTCTTAAACGCTCGACCATTAAATCAACTACATCACTAACTTCCGGTTGAAGTTCCAGGGTTCCAAACATGCCCAGACATGCAATTGAGTCGATGTTTTTCTTTTCTGAACTCTTTTTCATATTCACCGAAGGAAAGTAAGTTGCCAGTCTTAGGTTCCCCTTTTCTCTGAATACTGGCTCAATAGTATCTGCAATATCCTCTTCACTGACCCGACTTGGAACCTTCACCACGGCAAGGTCTTTCGCAGATAACCTAGCGGGTGGAGAGGTAGCAACTTTCACCACTCCATCCAAGCTTTTCACAAAGTTTTCAACATTGTAGATATCTCCAAAGTTCCTGAAAAATGAGAAAGTAAGCATGACCTAAGATTTTGTCGCATAATTTTAGTATCTTCCTTCTCTTAGCGATTATGAAGCATAATGATTATTATTCAATGTCCAACCTTGATGAATACCTACTTTTACCTTTAAAGACTACTTTAGATAAATACCTAAACCGATGAAAATCACTTTTTGGCGTTTTGCTAAACATAACGTGAAGTAGTACATCCTAAAGAACTAGGGGCTAGGCACCAACCTCTTATCACCGGGATTGCTTCCCCTAATATCAGGGAGTACAAGAGTTGCTCGTAGATATCTTGCAACTACTACTGCATCAGCAATCTGAAGAAGAAAATCACCGGAGAAAAGTGAGATATTAGAGAATGAAGAGTGCATACAGACTTTCAGCACTAACATCTTAGGATAACCAATAATTTATGTTTTCTAACAGGATTTCCCTCAAAAACCCTTTTCCCGTTTCACACAGGGAGTCCATTAGAATTCTGGTAAACCGTAAACATAGATTTCATGATAGCATACCAATCAGGATTCCTTGCTTAAATAAGCAGACACGAGAACAGCAGCATGGTTGACTAATTCCCAACCGAAGTTGATTACAACATTATGGACTAAAGAGAGATGCAAAAGAACCTTAAATTTCAAGAAGGAAGCAGATAAAAGGAAACTATTGATATGATAAAACTGCACAAAAAGAAAACGCATATAGAATCAAGATACCTGTGAGATGTGATACTCGGGACCTTTTGTCAATGAGAAGGTAAGAAATCCTTGTGATTGGTCTTCCTCCTCTATTGGCAGGGTTGCAAATGAAAGACGATGTTAAAAATAAATCGCTAAAAATACTGGTAAATTATAGGATGAGATCCTGAATGATGTGGAAATCACAGTAACTCACCCAAAACTGGTTTACTCCAGCATGGCTTAAGGGACATACCATCACCTTTCCAAGGTCCATCTCCCCCTGGAAGTGAAAGTTCTGAGGTTTTGGTAGTGTCATGAATGCTCACCTTCATAACACAAGAAAATCAGAAACCACAAAGGAACATCACACAACTTCTGAGCAAACAAATACATCACCTGGTTGTAATATATCTAGATCCCTCTTTTTTTTTTTTTTTTGTCAGGCCATGAGGTGTCCTGAGCAGGCCTTAACTATAAGAGGCACTTTAAGCCCGTACTATACCCAGACTAATCTCTATTCGTACTGGCCCGGCCCAATTAAAGGGCAAACTGCTGGCCAAATTGGGTTTTCCATATGAGAGGGGGTTTGAACTCCCGACCTCTCTTAAGGAATGGGATGAGAGTGCATGACCACTCACGCCAACCAAGCTGATTATTTAGATCCTCAGTTTGGGTTTTGCCCACAAAAGGTCCCCGTTCTCTACACGCTGGCCCGATAGGATAGTAGAAGGGTAAATCACTGTTACTCAGTGGCCCATTAGGTTTGGTGAAAGAACTCAGGTCCGGTGCCCATAAAGAGCTCACCACATTTGGTATAACTCCCACACTGCGGCTACCAGGCTTGATCCTATATCATACCACAATCTACCACCCAAAAATAAACTAAGCTAAGCTAGTCGTGCTGGCTACAATTTGGGTTTTGCAATGACAAAAGGTGTGTAACAAACAATCTACTAGAATGATTACTGTAACTTTTAGCTAAATCTTTCCATCAAATCGTTTCAACAGCCATTCAAGTTAACATCAAGTGGATCAACTGATATACAAAGAAACGAGAAACGCTCAAATTTCAGCAACTGAAATTAAGCTGGAACACAAAGATCAAAACCCAAAGAAACAAAATGTGGGGAAATCAGAAACAGAGCTGGAGTTAACCTGGACGTGATCGAAATGATCTCTCTTGATCATGTTACCCAGCATTACGAACATGGTGACCGTCAGCACTCCCGCCACCACTTGTCTCGGATCCACCGCCATTTCTTCAGATCCAAAACTCCTCTCTCTCTCTCTCTATCTCTCAATCTCTCTCAAGATTCAATAACCAACTGACCCACTTATATAAATGCGTGCGAAATGATGAAACGGGAAGTGGGCTGAATTGGAGCCTAAAAGCCAAATAAGGGCAGGCGAGAGAAGAGAGGTATGGCAGATTACACCATTGATGACTTGCTAGGAACTTTATAGAGCTGATGCTTACAAGCAAACAAAGCTCAACTACTAGTCAGCGTATACAAAATACATGATGTATAGATATAGAGAGCGTAGATAGATAACATATACGTGTAAAGAGTGGAAGCAGAGTGATAGTAGGGACTGCGATTTCCTACCACCGACACTTCTCCGATAATGACTTGCCGCCTATTTTGTTTATGTAGTGATTAATTTAGTTGGTAATTGTCATTCCTAGGCTCCATTTAGATTCACAATTAGATTAACCATAAATGTTAGAATTGTTGATAAATTAATACTCCTTCAGTCCTATTTTGCATTTTATATACTAATACTAAATTTAATATTAAATAAAAAAATTAAATTAAAAATAACTTCAAGACAATAATAAAGGCATTCATACAATTTTGTCTTTGTTGATCCATGACCAAGATTTTTTTATTTTTTATTTTTGTACTTTTTAAAAAATCTTAGTCTCATAATTGGCATAACATGTCATATATTGTAATAAGAGCAACCCAATAAGAATTTTTAGTAATTTTTTGAACAGTTAAAAACTTGTGAGTTGGTTTTTAATAAATGTGGGAAGTGATTTTTTCTTGGATTGTTCTCCTGTAAAAACTTTGTTTTTGTATGTTTAACAAAAAAAATGCGCAAGTGTGTCTCACTGGCACCCAATCAGGCGCGTGTATTACACGCGCTCACTCTCAATTGAAGGC